TTTTTTAATAAAGGGCAGTGTTTTTAGGCTTTCGCGAGCAAAGGAAATTCCCCACCGGAACACTTCGAAAAAGGGGGCGAGTCGCCAAATCCCCCGGGATTTTTTTAATTTTTGAACCTGGACTTTCGTTGTTTATAGAAAACAAGGGGAAGGGCGCACGCAAACAGACGGCCAAAACTTTATTTTATTCGAGTTAGGTGTATTGTTGGCAAAACAAGACACAGAGCTCACACAGAATCACAGCGGATTTTTGTGGCAGTTGTTCAGCGGATCGCGACTCAGAGCTCACACAGAACATCGAAAGCGGCGAGTCGCAATTCCAGGGGTCGTTGTGGCGGGCCACCGGGCCACCCTGTCATCCAGAAAGGCATGGATGCCAATCTGGGGTCTTTCGACCGAGTCTGATTTCTTTCGCCTCGCTCGCCGCCTCCCGATGGTGGTAAGGCTGGAGAGCCAAACAAAGCGGTGGAGTGGCGGGTGAGGGCGGGGGATCGAGGAAAGCACGACTCGCACCGACCCTTCACGAACCGAAAGGCTGCACCCGGGAAAGGCACAGTAATTCGGTACGCGTTGGGCGCCCCATTCCGTTTGGCGGCTAGGTCGGCTCAGGGCCCCGTCCACTTCCCTCCCACTTGGCGCGTGATGGTGTGGGGATGTCGCCCAGGACAGCCGGGGCAGGGGCGGAGGGCGAGGGCGGAGGGCGGGACGGGCGCCAACGGGAGGGAGCGGACGGAGTGGAACGCACAGATGGGGGATGGCGAAGGCGGAGGGCGGGCGGGAAGGGGGGAGGGCGGCGGGAGGGCGGAGTCGGCATGGGCGGGCGGTGCCGGTGGCTGGGTGGTTCGGTAGGGCGGGGGGGAGGGCGAGGGCTGAGGGAGGGTGTAGAGGATGTAGAGTGTAGAGCGCTGTAGAGTTGTAGAGATGTAGAGCGCTCTGGAGTGCTGTAGAGCTGTAGAGCTCTACATCCGCCGCGTGACGAACTGCCTGCGTTGTAGAGCGATGTAGAGCGCGATTTTGTTGTAGAGTTTGTTGTAGAGGCTCTACAGCCAAACCGCCGGGAAGGCAGTGACTCAAAGAGGTCGAGTCGCACTAATGGGGTGTCTCTGAGCTTACTGGAGCTCTGATGGACGGCGGCCCTGACTATCCCTGACACACAGAGAGTCACTCTGACAGCACACAACACCCTATAACTGCGTCATGACCAGCCTGCCATGCGTCGCCGGTGCCGCATTCGTCGCAGTGTGCTCCTTTAGCAGGCGGTGTGCGAGGACGGTCGCATTTGCGCGAGGCGAGGCGAGCATTCAGACGCGTTGCATGCGCCATGCCTCGCGCCAGCGCGTGCGGGAGCTCCGTGGCTGAGCGTTGAGTCCAGGTGAGTTGCGCTGGCCACTATCGCTACACCGAGCCGAGCTGACGCGCCGAGGCGCCGGCCAGTCGCAGCCGTGAGGCATGCCACAGCAGCAGAGGCACCTCCCACCCATTGGGCGGGCAGACAGAAGGCCAGGGCAGCACTGGCAAGTGCAACGCGCCTCATGTCGGAGAGCGACCGTGCCTCGTTCGCCGCTTATGATGTAGAGTTTGTTGTATCGCTCTACAACGCAGGCGCTTCGTCCCGCGGCGGATGTAGAGCTCTACAGCTCTACAGCGCTCTACAGCTCTACAGCTCTACAGCGCTCTACACTCTACATCCTCTACACCCTCCCTCAGGGCGAGGGGTGGAGTAGGAGGGCGGTGGGGGCGAGGGGACTGCACGAGCAGGATCTTGTAAGCGATCAGGGACACAGGGACGGGAGCGGGGAGCGCATCGCGACACGGTGCATATTAAGTGCACACCACTCGGGCTCAAGGCTTTTTTTTACGATTTTGCGTGTGCCGAAACAGACTTTTTTTTTGGCGCAGCTCATTTCGCGAACCTCCCCGACTCTCAGCATGCAGCCATGGATGGAGAAGGTGCTCCTGTCGCCCGATCTGATGCCACTCGTGATGGCAATGTGCCGCTGCCGCGACAAAGCGCCGATGGTGTGTACCGTTTGGCGCGATGCGTGGATCGCCTCTTCGGAGACGCGACCGTCGCTGCGGCCGGTTGCCATTGAGCCTCGCGAGGTGCGCCGTCTGCAAAAGGCGCACGACGGCTGCATTGTCACGACGATGGACCGCCAGGTTCAGATCTTGGA